CCTAGAGCATTCTCGGATGGAGGGCGATTAATAAGTAATTAAATGATGATGATAATAATAATGATGATGATGATGGTGATGATGATGATGATGATGATGATGATGATGATAAACACAGATTGGAATACAGCAACACATGGCAGGGGACGGATAGTGTGTATGTGTGTGTGTATCGTTCGTTTGTGGGATTAACATAACTCAAAAACCACTGGATGAATTGACATCAAATTTGGTCGCAAGACACCTCTCAGGCCAACGAGTGACTACCACTCATAAAAACACTGAAAAACACTGCAGAAGAGACTTAAAAAGCCAAAACATTAAAAAAAAACCATTACAACGTATGCACAAAACTACACACACACAAAAAAAATACACAGACTGGGCCACAGCAATGAGTGGCGGGGGAGGGCTAGTGTGTAGTGTGTGTGTGTGTGTGTGTGTGTATAAATGCTCTGTGATGATTAGTACCTTAAAAACAAAAGAACCAATGAACGAAATCACACCAAATTTGGCAACATAACAACACAAGGAGTGACCATCACTCAAAAAATTATGATTTTGTCATTTGGGAGTTGCAGTAGTTGGGATTTATAGTTCACCTACAATCAAAGAGCATTCTGAACCCCACCAACAATGGAATTGAACCAAACTTGGCACACAGAACTCCCATGACCAACAGAAAATACTGGAAGGGTTTCATGGATAGTGTCCTTTGGTTTTGGATTTGTAGTTCACCTACATCCAGAGAGCACTGTGGACTCAAACAATGATATATCTGGACCAAACTCTACACGAATACTCAATATGCCCAAATGTGAACACTGGTGAAGTTTAGGGAAAATAGAATCTTGACTTTTGGGAGTTGTAGTTGCTGGGATTTATAGTTCACCTAGAATCACAGAGCATTCTGAACCACACCAACGATAGAATTGGGCCAAACCTCCCACACAGAAACCCCATGTGGGCCACAGCAACGTGTGGCAGGGGACGGCTAGTATATATATGTGTGTGTGTAGTGTTTGGTTGTGGGATTAACATAACTTGAAAACCACTGGACAAATTGCCGCCAAATTAAGACACAAGACACCTACTAACCCAAGGAGTGACCATCACTCAAAAAATGGTTTTGATAATGATATAAAAAGGTAAAGGTAGTCCCCTGACATTAAGTCCAGTCATGTCTGACTCTGGGGTGTGGTGCTCATCTCCATTTCTAAGCCGAAGAGCCGGCATTGTCCGTAGACACCTCCAATGTCAGGTGGTTGGCATGACTGCATGGAGCGCCGTTACCTTCCCGCCGGAGCGGTACCTATTGATTTACTCACATTTGCATGT